GTTACATTTAGCCTGTCTGAGACATGTCTGGCCCTTGGTGGTTACATTTAGCCTGTCTGAGACATGTCTGGCCCTTGGTAGTTACATTTAGGGGGCTTGGTAGTTAGATTTAGCATGTCTGGGACATGGTATCTGGGACATGGCTGAGTCGCAAATGAATGGCTACAATCCTTTTTATTCCCAGGCCTAGGAAATGGGGCCACCCTGCCCTCCCTCCAGCCTGCTGGTTCCTCTGCTTGCTGCCACCACACCAATATCGCCAAGGTGGAGGCAGCAGGTCTGCACCCCTAAGCTCCACGAGCTGGCTGGGATGCCACTTGTCCTGTATCGATAGAACTAGAGCAATGACTTTCAACTCATGTGCTGCAGCATACTGGTGTGCCGTGAGGGGATCTTAGGTGTGCAACAAAAAAATTTTTAAGGATCATTAATTGAATTATTTTAGAAAGAAGTTCAAAGCATAATAAGTATATTCTTTTTTTACTCTTTTTTAGTCACCATAATTTAAGTGTGCCATGGAAATTTAAATGTGGGTTCAAGTGTGCCATGAGATCAAAGAAGTTGAAAAACACTGAACTAGAGAGTAGAACTCCTCTGGGGTTTTAGTAAGAGGCAGTAAACTAGTGTGTTGAATGTAAAGCTAAGAGTTCAGACTTGAGTCTCTAGGACCTGTGGTTTTCAGACCATCAGTAGCAGATTGCTTTCTTCAAATTAAATCTTACACAGAACCTCAGTAGACAATGATACTTTAATGGTGTAAATTTATTTCGACTATTCAAGTTTATCACCTTTACTTATAAATCCAATCAGTAATCCAAATCACCTTTACTTATAAATCTGCTGCATAAAAACTATGCAGTGAGTTACAGATGGCAGGGTGATGTTTTATATTTGCTTGGGCATTCTTGGTAACATACAGAAATGCCTTACTACATTCCAAACCAATTAAATCAGAATATCTGAGGTTCAGGTTTAGGCATGAGTATATCTTTAAAGCTCCCTAGGTCATGCTAGTGTGCAACCAAGTTTAAGAACACTGCCCCAAGTCATTGTTACAGCGTAATGCAGGGGTATTAAATTTAGCGTACATCTGAATCACCTGGAAGGCTTGTTAAACTATTGCCAGCCCCTACCCCAAAGTTTCTGATTCAGTGGGTGTGGCATGAGGCACAGAAATTTACATTTTTCACAAGTTCCCAGGTGATACTAATGCTGCTGGTACAAGGACACACATAAGTCATAAAAGTCAGCCAAGTGCCTGGTAAGTAGGGTCTCAGGCTCCTCCTGTGGGAATCTTGATTCTGCTACAGCCTGGGCATTTATATTTTTAACAAATTCACAAATCATCAGCATAAGGTAAGTTAAGAAATACTGCTATGACAACAGGGAAAACTAGCAAATCATTAAGCTTCTAGCTGATGGAAAATATTTTGAAAATATT